TCTCTCTCTCTCTCTCTCTCTCTCTCCCTCTCTCTAAATCGCCCCCTCTCCCTCAACCCCTGTATCTCTCTCCATTGTAAATGTGTGACGTCTTCATCGACACAGTAAAGATCATAAAAGACGCAGACCCCTTTCGTCAAGTCCAACCTAGGTAGAGAGGGGTACAACGTCCCAGCCCATCAGACACAGATACTCGCTTTAAAAAAAAAAGTTTTAGTAAGAGTTTTACGGCACTTGCAAAACAATAAGGTCATATAAGTCGCACCGAAGATTAGAAGTGTTACAAGAGAGTGACAAACACAAAATAGAAGGAGGGGAGAAAAGGACGACAGATGTTTGATAGGAAAGAAGGAGCATAGAAAATAAACTACAGTAGTATAGTATAGTACTTTTTACATTTCGGAGTGAAGACCGCGCTCATATGGCCTTATGCAGTTGATAAAAACTCTTACTAAAACTAAACTAAGGAGTGAAGACCACTGTCTTTATAAAATAAAAAAATTCTTCTCGGGGGGTCTCTCCGAAGTCTGGACATTCTATTAGGATGTGCCTGATCATAAAGTCGGCACTGCATCCAGCACAAAACGGTTTTTCATCTCCCTGCAGAGCTATGTTTATCATGTGGCAGGGAGGTACATCCAAAATATAATTCTATTACAACAACAACAACAACAACAACAACAACAACAACAACAACAACAACGATAATAATAATAGATTACAGTATAACACGGATAGGTCGGACACAGAAGACTCGAAATCACACAGCCCTTAAACTGTGCCTGCGGTTCCGTTTTATTTTTTCTTTGGTCTTCTTCTTTATCTTTGAAAGATTACACTCGAACTACGGATCACTCAAACTACCGAAGCCGGTCCCGACAAATTCGATCGAGCAATCTGTGTTATACCGTATATATACAGCTCTATCCCATACAATTACTTTCGGGAGAGATCCAAATAATTTTGTGGATTCAACTTGGGCATTATTTTGTTCACTTGTTCTTTTTGCTGTTTTTTTAGTAGAGGTTTTACAGCGCTAGCAACCACATACGGTCATATTAGCGCCAGAAGATTAGAGGTGTTACAAGAGAGTAACAAACATAAAAAAGAAGAAGGGGAGATAAGGACGATAGTTGTGTGATAGGAAAGAAGAAGCAAACCACACCAGATCACCGGCCAACCATCCACCCTGTTCACTCCAATACTCCTCCCACAGAGACAGAGAGGAGTGCGTGTAATAGAGTGAAACACAAAGAGGTACAGAGAGTGAGATAGAGAGGAGACAGATGTTTGTCACAGAGAGAGAGGGAGAGGGAGAAAGAACGAGAGGGGGAAAGAGGGAGAGAGAGGGAGAAGGAGAGAGAAAGAGTCAAGCACACAGAGACACAGAGAGAGGAAGAGGAGCAAACAATGAGCAACAGAGACAGGGACAAAGAGGCGAGAGTGAGTAAGAGAAAGAGAGAGAGAGAGGGGGAGAGAGGGGGGATGGAGGAAGAAAAAGACATACACAGAAAGACATGTGTGAGAGAGAAAGAGAGCCAGAGAGGAGAGAGAGGGGCAAAAACAGTGACAAAGAGGAATGAAAAAAAGGTAGAGAGAAAGAGAGAGGGAAAGAGAGAGAGGGAGAGGAAGCGAGAAGGGAGGGAGAGAGAAGAGAGAGAGTGAAAGAGACAGAGAAAGAGACAGAGAGAAAGAGAGAAAGGGTGAGAAAGAGAGAGAGAGAGAGTGAAAGAGACAGAGAAAGAGACACAGAGAGAAAGAGAAAAAGGGAGGCAAAGAGAGAGATGGGGGGGGGAGAGAAAGAGAGCGACAGAGTGAAAGACCAGAGACAGAACGAAAGAGAGAGAATAAGAGACAGAGAGAGACACAGAGAGAGAGCGAAAGATACAGTGAGAGTAAGACACAGAGAGAGAGAAGAGAAATTTGTCCTACCTGAGCCCCAAACTTGATGGCGGCGGCGTACAACATAGCCACATTGTCCACCCCGATACCCTGACGTATGATGGCCTCACACTTGAGCTTCAGCTGACTCTCGCAGTACGCGTTGGACAAATCCAGAAGACCTGAAACATACAGTATATGAAGTATACTGACAAAATGAGTTATGTTTGTTTTAGTTATAGCAGAGGTTTTGCGGCGCTCGCATAAGGTCATATGAGCGCCTGAAGATTAGAGGTGTTACAAGAGAGAAACAAACATAAAAAAGAAGAAGGGGATATAAGGACGATAGATGTTTGATAGGAAAGAAGAAGCAAACCACATCAGAGCACCCGCCAACCACCTACCAAAATGAGCTACTTCTCGGATTTGAGCCCTATGTATGGGAAGAGATACATCACGCTTATAGGTGAAGCTTTTACAATTTATAAGTATGAAATAATAAAAGGCATGTTATATTTAAAGAATATATGGCATCAAATTTGACCCTAATGTCGATTTTTGGCAAATATCCCCATTTATAGATTGCGAGAAGTAACTCATTTTGTCAGTTTGCCTCACATATGGTTTGGGGGTTTTTTTTGTAAAAGTTTTACGCCACTTGCAACACAATAAGGTCATATAAGTATCGAAGACTAGAGGTGTTACAAGAGAGTAACAAACACAAAAAAGGAGGGGAGAGAAGAACGATAGAGGTTTGATAGGAAAGAAGAATCAAACCACACCAGAACACCCGCCAACCACCCACTAACGTCGATTTTTGGCCAATATCTCCATTTGGGGATTGCGAGAAGTAACTCATTTTGTCAGCTCGCCTCATATACAGTTGGGGCTAAATTAATGTTTGTCAGCTTTAAATAAAGAGAAGCACATCAAGACAATCCAGTGCAGTGATAAAAGCAAACTAGAAACAACAGGGGAACTGCATGGAGTAAGAGGCGTCGGTGGCCTAGTGGTTAGGCTCTCGGACTCGCAACCGTAAGGTCGTGGGTTCGAATCCCGTCAAGGGTCCGACGTTGTGTCCTTGGGAAAGGCACTTTACACAAATTTTCCTCACTTCACCCAGGTGGGAATGGGTACCCGGCTACAGACAGCGAAAGATCTTGTCAGTTTGTTAGTGTTTGAGCGCTTAATCGGCTGCTCGCACTGTATGCTTCCCGGGAAGCTGAGAATGTTTCGGAGTGTTCTATGGTCTGCTGGGGTAATAATATAGTGTAAAGCGCATAGAGCCTGCTGCTGAGCGGGGATATGCGCTATACAAATGCTATCTATTATTATAATTATTATTAAGACTCCGCCCTGTATGCCATGGTGAAAAGTGACGTAGGACAGAGTCATACACCGAGCAGTCAAAACATGTTTGAGAGAGACATGTAGTACCGATGTTCTGGGTTCGAGCACAAGATAGACTGCACAAATAACACTGGGTATACTTTACTTTTTACTTTTACTTTTATCCGCTGATTATACCCTTTTGGGTGTCGCAGGAAGAAAGAGATGTCTCTCTGCCACCAGCCGGAGAGCTTGGGCCAGGGGGATACCATGAGTTGTTAGTATTTCCCTGATTAAAGGCACTGGGTATAAAGGACCTATAACTGGCACCTTTTAACTACCCAAAATCAGTTGATAATGGACTCAAAAGGGATTTTATAAATAATCATGCACCACATCATAGAAAGACTAAACTCAAAACTGCCGTTGTTTCATACCTATAGCTTCATCCGGCTGCAAATCCACCTCATCCGTGTAGAGGTAGCGTAGAAAGGCATGGTACACGGAGTATCCATACTGGCTGATCTCAATGGACCTGGAAATAGGAACAGAGACACATTATTGTTGAAGTTAGATAATTTTTCGCATGTCACAACGATCACATTCAGCTGTGTCCTGTCCATGTGAAACATGGCTGCAACTACACTGTCACATCAGATGTCGTAGACTAGGTCAAACAGTTTGAAAATGAGGCTATACTTTACTTTTACCTGAATTTCTTTTGGGCAAGGACAAATTTTTTTGCTTCTTTTTCTTTCTTTCTGTGTCTCTCTCTCTCTCTCTCTCTCTCTCTCTCTCTCTCTCTCTCTCTCTCTCTCTCTCCCCTTCTCTCCCTCTCCCTCCCCTCCAACCCTAGCCTCCCTCAAATCAACCAATGTGTAAAAAGGAACAGAACAAAACCAATCCCAGTAAGAGAACCAGTCGCGTTTCTCTGACAATACTCTGACTCACCGACTCCCTGCCAGACATATTGACAGCGATATATGCGACTGATTTCTTGGAAACTTTGTCAGCACACAGTCTTTCTAGTCTAAATAAAAGAAAACCAAAAAAAAACGACTCCGATGTACTTTTATACTATTTATAGAGCATGCTGACTCTTGATTTTTCACAGATGATCTCAGGATCAACCCCGGCAATGTTCAAAGAACAAAAAAAACAAAAAATGAGTTGACCTATCTCTTCCAGTTACACAGTTAGAGCATGACACTGTAGAGACCCAACAAGACATCTGTTTGTGAACTAAAGCACACAGTTAAACATGTACTCACACACACCTTTTATACCCTCACGACTCACAGGTACAAAGCCATCCCGTTTATTATTGTTGATATAATGTAAGTGCGTGCATAGGTGTCATGCACCTAAGTCGCTAAAACACTATTGATCAGCTTTTGAACATTTCAGCTCAGATATAACACAATTGCCTAAACCGTCATTGTTTTCTTTAGATATAGAGTAAACCATTTTTTTAAAAACATTGCTTGTCCACCTAAACTTGAACACAAGTGAAAATATCTCAATAGTAAATTGGAATTTTAATGCGCACAACAAATCCCTGCTACATTGAAGATATGAAACAAGAAACAGACGTTCTTACTACGCCAACAACTTAAAACCTTAGAAGAAATGAATTAGGCATTTGTGTTTGCGTTATAACTTTGAAGATTTGTTCTAACCTAAAAAAAAAAAATAATAAATGGTCTTTTTCATGACAGAGAGAAAAATGTCTTAGTGACCACCAAGCCAAACAAACAAATTTAAAACAAAAGCCAACTTACTCCTTGCTGTCCTCATCCCAACAAGACTGGAACATGGAGCGGAAATGTTCACACCTGAAGAAACCAAAATGCTAGTCAGTTCCATATTCTAGGATGCAATGATTTCACACCTGTAATATATTATTCATCTTTAAGTGCCAGGTCTTAACACTTTTAGCCATCTCATCTCGCTGATGGGCTATGTTAACCACCCAGTTCCTTTGGGTTTCCCCCAAAATTCCTTTCTCTTTCATGGCAACGGTTTTTACTATACTATGGGAGCCTTGTGATGGCAAAGTGTTAAATAGATATCAGTGATCGTTGTTCGCAACTCATTTCTCTTCTTGGTTGCTCTATAACAAAAACCGTTTTTGTAATGTTTGTCTTTCCTCATCAACCGTCATGAGTTCAAGTCCTCTTTTTATTGCTTTGCAGGCTCATTCTGGCAAGATCATATACGACAAAGCACACCTTCTTAGGTACTCTTTTCTCACTAGAATACTAGAAATGAAACATAAGGCAACAGCTTAAAGTCAGATATCTATTTTCGTCATATCTAAGCTTTCCTGAAGAAGAAACAAAAAGAAAAAAAGCTTGCCCAGCCAAAACCGGGTCAAACATTGGTTGTTCATATATATTTTGGAGCAAGTTTGACCAGGATCATAGGAAAGGGCTATCATATAACGTAATGTTTTTGTGTTTAAAATTCAAGAACCTCTTTAAACGGATATAGGAGTAAGCTCACCTCAGTTTTAGGATAGCTTTGTGAACATGAATTTCTTTGCCTTCAACGACAAACTTGAGATCACTGTTTTCCTGTCACAAGAGAAACAAAACAAAACCACTATGTGAACAAATCTAAAACAATGCAATAACCCCAGTCGATGAAAAATACTTGTCAATGTTTCAAGCATGTCTTATCTTAGTTTTCTTTAGTTTGAGTAAAAAAAACCCATTGGTTTGGCGCTGAGAAAAGAAAAAAAAAAGAGACAGTAGAAACAGATGAATAGCCAAAAAAATAAAGCCAAGAAGTGGCGCCCTCCAACCACCCACCCTCTTTATCTCTTCAACCCGAATTGTTTTCTCAAAGTTTCATTTTATACCAACAAACATTTTGAATTCAGCTGTCAGATTTCCCAGCAAAGTGAAAAATTCAGAATTAGATATTAAGGCCTGTCTGGCTTTCTCTAAATTCTTCTTGATAATATAATTTTTGCTGTCCATTCAGAGTCTTTGGGAAAAAGAATGGAGATGGGAAGAGACAGGGAAGAGAGAGGGAGGAGGAAGGGGGGAGGCCAAAAATAGCTCTTCCCACACAACTTGAATGTGTATGTGTATCAAAGGACGCAACACTTCAGTGAAATCAACACAAAACATGGGAAGACCTCTGTTGAAAAAAAGGGGCTGTCGTTACATGCTGGTGTTTTTGAGAACCTTTGATTCAAAGTTTGGAACCTCATATTTTCCAAAATATGTACAATTTTCTTTCATCATTTGTATATGAACTGCCTGTAAACAACTATGTTGACCATCAATGATTTATTTATAGAGGCACCAGCCATCCATGTCCAGGTGTTGTCTTAGCCAAAACAACTATGTTATGTCACAAAAAAGTGTAATAAAGTCTCTATGGGGTGTTACTCTGAATTTTAAAAAATAATCTAACTTTGCTGTTATTTTCTTCTCCTGTAGTTTCCGTACAGCTCTACCCACAATATCTGAGTGGTGCTGACATACTGAATTACTTCTCCGATTTTTACCCTATGGAAATAGATATTTCAAATGTGTAGGTTGAGTTTGTACAATTCATTATACGTAGGAAATACTAAAAGTTATGTTATATATATGAAAAAAATGGCATCAACTGGAAATCTACAAATTTGATCCCAGTGAGCTTTCAGCCGATATCTTTATATGAAGATTGCGAGAAATAACTTATTTTATCTTCACGCTTCCTACGTTATCATACTTTCTGCTCAAGCTGTCAAACTTTTGACAATGTCTCAGGCCACTAATGTTCAACTCCCTTCTGGGGCATTTCACACTACACAACAGTCAGTTGAAGAATCCAGAAGGAAACATGTTACAGTAATCAAGATGATGAGCGAACAGAAAGGTATAGACAAACAAGAAAGATAAGCATCTACCTGCATGCACCCTCCAGCAACCTTTGGGAAGGACTGAAGCATAACTTACCGGGTTATCAAAGGCTTTAGCAATGGTGTCTGCAATACGAGTTCCTTTCACCAGATCTGAAAGTAACAAATTATCTAAGTTTAGTTTGTTTGTTTTAGTAAAGGTTTTACGGCGCTTGCAACTGCATAAGGTCATATGAGCGCCCAGGGGTGGATGTCAACAGAGAAGTCCTTAAAAACTTACAGGGAAGCAGACTTATTCAGCTCATCTCTCTAGCTTCAACAGCACAAAGTCTGCTTCAACTATCAAGGCACCCTGGAAATAGCGGACAACAAGAGTGTGACAAACATACAAAAGAAGTAGAGGAAAATGACGATAGTAAGGATTAGGAAAGAAAAAGCAGCAGTTCCCTGTTGCAGTTCAAGCACAGCTATGAGAATGACATTGATGAATCAGCCCATTTACAATTATAATTCTACTGTGCATAAGAACATGGTTAATGTCTCCCCTTTGGGAACGGCCTCAAGACACTACAGAGGAAAACTGTTTCTGAAAAAGAAAGAACACACTGAAACACATCCAACAACTGAAAGGAGTGGAATGAGATTAAAGGAATATCTCAGTCTCTCCATTCTGGCACGGTGGTGCAATGCCGACAGCACGCAGGAACCCAATACTCCCTCAGAGGTCCTTGAAAAGTACTGAACGTGGGTCACTGAAATGTCCCAGCAGACGTGTTCTGGCACTATCGTTGGCGGGACATTAGAGGAACATCGAACATCATGGGTATTGGAGAGAGAAATGTCCCCCCCCCCCCTCCCCCCCTCACCACTCACCGACAGAGTAGATCCGCCATGACACCGGAGGTGTGGAGAACGCGGCAAAAACGTCGTCAGTGGAGGAGAAGCGAGTGATGCGGGGCTGAGTGAGGGACTGACCGCGACACTGGCCCCACATGACCACTTTGCCCTTCTGCGTCATGGCTGCGGAGATGTGACTGTAGTGGCTGGCCGCCACCTCCACGTACCTGTGGTAGTAGGAGAGGTAACTCTGTCACATCCAGGGACAAAACTCACTCGGATACATTCTTGTCATTTATGGTCGCTTTTAACCCTATACATATGTCGTGCTTTACTATCGTATCCATACGACGCGGGGAAACTCTGTGCCACCACTTTCCAAAGGTCAAATTTACTCGCTAATCCAATCTGTACGCTTGGCATAGCAGTCTGTCAAAGTAATTATTTGAGAAACACTGAAAGTGACAAAGAGACCTTCGCACTTGAAGTATTCTAAAATGTGAAGAATACAACCCCAAGGGTACAAAATGACCCCAGGGCATACAGATAGGGTTAAATAAAGTTTTGAGAAAATCAAAGGTAAAGTTCTTGGACCCTTGTTCAGTTTCTTTAAAAAAGAAAGAGAGTTTTCTCTATAACCAAACAAATCTACACACCAATAAAACCAAACCTCTATAGGCACGGCAATGCCACTTTTGGTGCAGGTCAAGGTTTCTGGAAACCCCCGAAATCTGGGTTAGCCCGCTAGTCCTTAAAATTAAAAGCGAGTATTTATAGTCATCCCCTCCCCCAAAATATTGAGGACTGCTGCCATTCTTTAACTGGGGGG